AACTGCCGAAAGTGCACTTTGTCTGCTGATATAGCGGTGCATCCTATTCTCTCATCCCTGCTGGGCGCTGCTCTGTGTCCCATAGGAGAGAAACTGTCACAGGCGGCCGAGCACTGCGGGAGGAGAGTGCTGCGAGCGGCCGGTGTCTCTCCTCCCAGCAGCGCTCATCCTCCTGTGACAGATCAGAGGAGAGCGGCGGTTTGGGGGCGAAGACAGCCAGCGCTGTCACAGGAGGCCGGCCGGGGGAGGAGTCAGCTGTCAGATCGAGCTCTCCTCCCCAGATCGCTTGCTCAGCCTCCTGTGACAGCTGTCAGGAAGGAGAGCGAGTACAAACACTCAGTGTGATCAGTGAGTGTTTGTAAATAACTGAGGACATAGTATGGTTACTATATCCTCAATTATGAATGAATGGGAAGTGATCTACATCACCTCCTGTTCATTCCTGATTGTGGTTTTAGTAAACATACTATCTCCACAGGGAACACTCAGTATAGAGGATTCCTGTTCATTTATAACAGGGGCTGCAGAATAAGAGATTGAGTACTCTGTGTCCTCAATCTCTTTTTCTATTTTAAAAGGGAAACATCAGGGGTCTGTTTAGACCCCCAATATTTCCCCAAAGCCCCTAAAAGTAAAGTAAAAAAATAAAAATATTTAATAAAAATTAACAAATAAAAATTAAATATAAAAAAATGTAAACATTTATAAAAAACAAATAGGAGTAAAATAGTAAATTTTTTTTGAAAAAAGGTAAGAATTTTTCTTTTTCGGCCTGACAGTTTTAAAAATTTCGGTTTCGTTTCGGTTTTAAAATTTTCCTTTCGGTGCACCTCTATTATTTTGCATTGTGAAGCATTGTAATGAGTTGCGCTGCGTTTAAATATAAATTGTCATATTTTCACCAAGCAATGCATGGGAGTAAATTGGACCTATTGAAAGCAATGTGGTTGTACTTGTTGTTGCATTGGGCCTGGGTTGAGTAATGCTGCCCAATGCACATGGTGTATATGAGCCCTAAGATAACAATGATCGTACACAATACACAGTTCGTATTTGATTACACGTGTATTTTCGGTACAGAAAGTCATTGCAATTTATGAAATCATCACAGAAAATCTCATTTACAACTCTAGTGAGGACTGTTTTCTGTCTATGGATGGCCTATGGCCAGTAATATAGCTAGTTTAGCAGTCAGAGAAAATTCACAAATCCCCTGATGAACATGGGATCACTCTGTATTTCTTAGTAAAGGCATGGTCATCTAAAGGATCATGGATATGTGTGTAATAACATACTGATATCTACACAGGATCTTGATGGCAGAAAGATTTATGCGCAAAAAATCTATGCATTTAGATGTGTAAACATTCACAGAATGTTCAGATTCATAAAATTGTTCTTCCATTCCTCCCAAACAGGTCCATGCCTACCATGAGGCCACTTAAGGTAGCTGCCTCAGGCACCACTGAGGTCAAAGTGTCCATGGAACACCCTGTCCTCAGGGCAGCTCAGCATTACTTAGCTCCCTGCCCAGCCACTGCTCCTGTCACACAGGCGGGCACATTGACTGAGACTACTCAGTGACACTGAGTCTGATGAAAGTGAAGGCTCAGCCTCAATCAGTAGAGCTCCTGACCACTTAGTCTGCCTATCTCACAGGTGCAGAAGTTGGTATCTCTGCTCATTGAGGCAGTCACCATTTTTATCAGGGTCAGCAACACTGAGGTCACTTCTCTGTCTCTTTCAGCCATGTGGGTTGCAGCAAAAAAGCCCCCTCAGCTCCTGCCTCCAGCTCAGTATTTGGTCTTAGCATGGATTCATGTACACGTGTTTACATGCAGACTCACGTAAATTACACGAATAGTGACTGCAGACACAGATTTTTCAACTTTGATTTTACACAATGCAATGTAACATAACTGCGCAATGTAGCTGTGTGATTGGTCCCATAAAATACCACTGCATTTGGATCCGTAAAAACTAGACACTATAAAAATCTGAATGCACCATTTTCTACACCCATGTGCATGAACCCTTGGTTCTCACCATTCCTAATCTTCAGAAGGCCCAGTATTGAGCCACCAGTATGTGACCATAGTATCTGATGACCACGCTCCCCCTCTATGTGACCATAGCATCTGATGAAATTGCTCCCCCCATATGTGACCATAGCATCTGATGTCACTGCTCCCCAAGCATGTGACCATAACCATCTGATGAATGCAGAAATCCCATCTCACACCTAACCGGTATATCCCCTGTTGTCTTTTGGTGGTGTTACGGTATATTCGGCGGCGCCATCGACCTGTCACTACAACATAGAGAGTAAGTCACCAGCACACCAATATATTCATCAGCAAAATGCCTTTATTGACATTGGTTGATCATGAAAGCATAAGAAAAAACAATGTTTTGGGACCAAGCAGGGCCCCTTTATCATGGAGTATGATCACATTGCCTAATATAAGGACCCTGTGTAGTCGCGAAACACTGCTCTTTTCATATCATCTGTTGACCCCGTTACCCTAGTATGTGACCATAGCATCTAAAGACCTCACTTTCCCAGTATGTGATCGTAGCATCGGATGATCCCAGTCCCCTAGTATGACATTGGTTGATCATGAAAGCATAAGAAAAAACAATGTTTTGGGACCAAGCAGGGCCCCTTTATCATGGAGTATGATCACATTGCCTAATATAAGGACCCTGTGTAGTCGCGAAACACTGCTCTTTTCATATCATCTGTTGACCCCGTTACCCTAGTATGTGACCATAGCATCTAAAGACCTCACTTTCCCAGTATGTGATCGTAGCATCGGATGATCCCAGTCCCCTAGTATGTAACTATAAAACTGATGACCCAGCTCCCCAGTATGTGACCATAGCATCTAAAGACCTCACTTTCCCAGTATGTGATCGTAGCATCGGATGATCCCAGTCCCCTAGTATGTAACTATAAAACTGATGACCCAGCTCCCCAGTATGTGACCATAGCATCTGAAGAGCCCAGTATGTGCTAATGACCCTGCTTCCCCAGTATGCGACTCAGCTCCCCCAGTATGTGACCACAGCAGTTGGTGACTCAGCTTCCCCAGTATGTGACCGTAGCATCTGATGACCCCAGTATGCGACCGTAGCATCTAGTGACTTCTCTTATTCAGTATGTGACTATAGTATCCGATGACCTCCATCCCCCAGTATGTGACTATAGTATCTAATTACCCCATAGATCCCCAAGTATGTGACCATAAATCTGATGACCCTGCTCCACCAGTATGTGATTATAGCATCTGCTAACCCCTATAGATCCCCAGCATGTGAACATAGCATCTGATGATCCCATAGGTTCACCACTATGTGACCATAGCCCCCCCCAGTAAGTGACCCTAGCACCTGATGGCCCAATAGATCGCCCAGTAAGCGACCACAGCATCTGATGGCCTTGCAGATCCTCCAGTAAGTGACCCCAGCATTTGATGGACCCATAGGTCACCCAGTGAGTGACTCTAGCATCTGATGGCCCTGTCGATTGCCCAGTAAATTACCCTAGCATCTGACAGCCTCATAGATTCTCCAATAAATAACCCCAGCATCGGATGGTACCGTAGGTCCTTCAGTAAGTGACCCTAACATCTGATGGCCCTGTAGATCCTCCAATAAGTGACCCTAGCATCTGAAGGCCCCAAGGATCCCCCAGTAAGTGACCTCAGCATCTGATGGCCCGGTAGACCCTCCAGTAAATGACCCTAGCATCTGATGGCCCCGTAGATCCTCCAGTAAGTGACCCCAGCATCTAATGGCCCTGTAGATCCCTCAGTATGGGACACTAGCATCTAATGCCTCGTAGATCCCCCAGTAAATGACCCCAGCATTTGATGACCCCACAGATAGCCCAGTATGTGAATGCAGCATATGATGGCCTGTAGATTCCCCAGTAAGGGACCCTAGCATCTGATGGCCCTGTAGATCTTCCAGTAAGTGACCCTGGCATCTAATGCCCCATAGATCCTCCAGTAAATGACCCCAGCATTTGATGGCCCGCAGATACCCCAGTATGTGAACATAGCATATGATGGCCCCATAGATTCCCCAGTAAGGGACCCCAGCATCTGATAGCCCTGAAGATTCTCCAGGAAGTGACCCTAGCATCTGATGGCCGTGAAGATTCTCCAGTAAGTGGCCTTAGCATCTGATGTCCCCCGTAGATTCCCCAGTAAGGGACCCCAACATCTGATGGCCCCATAGATCCTCCAGTAAGTGACCCTAGCACCTGATGGCCCAAAGATCCTCCAGTAAGTGAGCTTAGCACCTAATGGCCCCATAGATCCTCCAGTAAGTGACACCTACAATCTGTTGGCCCCGTAGATCTCCCAGTACATGACCCCAGCATCTGATGGTTGATGGCCCCAGTGATCCCACAGTAAGTGACCCCAGCATCTGATGGCCCCAGTGATCCCACAGTAAGTGACCCCAGCATCTGATGGCCCCAGGGATCCCACAGTAAGTGATCCCAGCATCTGATGGCCCCAGGGATCCCACAGTAAGTGACCCCAGCATCTGATGGCCCCAGTGATCCCACAGTAAGTGACCCCAGCATCTGATCGCCCCGCGTAGAAGAAGCACAGAACTCCTCGGCAGTGCTCGGGTTGCGCATGACTCAGAGAGGCCGCCGGGAAGAGGAGGAGGATTAGGAGGAAGGAGAGCAGCCGGGGTCCCCCCTCTGCTATCACTCGCCGCTGTTGCTGTAGCAGTGACGCGGCATCCGGATTGTCAGCTTCTCGTCGTATCCGTTACCGGAGCGCCGCCTTACATCTGCCAGAGAGCGGCGTGTGAGAGCCGGGGGGGAGGGAGGGATTGGGGTGAATGTAGGGGGATCGCCGCCTTCCCCGGCCGGATCTGCGCTCCAGGACTTGTGCGAATAACACAGCACCGGCACTTTCGCACGTTCCAGCAGGATCACTCCGACATAATCCGCCCGGAGCGACCGGGGACTCCGCCGTCCTCCCATCACTGATAAGCGATGTGTAATTGTCAGTGTCGCCCTTGTCTCCTCCCCCGTCCGGGCTGTGGAAGGGGCGGGTGTCTGGACGAGGTTTGACGGGAGATGACGCTTCCTCTAGCGTCCCACATAAAGCAGATCGGAGGGAGGGAGAGCAGGGGGAGCCGTGCAGTCTGGGACTGGCAGGACGACTGAAAAGTTCCGAGACTTGGACTTGTACGATGAGCAGAGCTGTGCCGCGCCGCTCCGAGCGCTCCTTCTCTCCAGTGTAAAGGTAACTTTGTGTGCTCATGGCTGAGCGATCTGTGTGTGTGTGTGTGTGTGTGTGTGTGTGTGTGTGTGTGTGTGTGTGTGTGTGTGTGTG